CGCGGTCCCCAAACGACAGCCGAGACAGCGAGCATTTGTTCCCATTCGCTCTCCCCCCCTTCAGAAATGCTCAAGGTTTGTTTTCCCGCTAGCGCAGTTCTGCGGGAATGGAGAAAGCCCTTCTGGAGATCCTCGGACGCGTTCATGCACAGCCCGCCCCCCTCCCCGTGCTGCAAAAGGCCCCGCCGAGAACCAAGACCCCCCTCCGTCGCTTCGGGGCTGGGAGGAACCGGGAACCGCCCGCAAAGTTCTGGAGCCGAGGCCCTTCAGCCCCTCCTCCTGTTGGAAGTCAGATGTTCCAGCCGGCGCAGAGAGAAGCTCCAGCCTGGGACAAGCAGTGCTCGAGGAAGGAGTCCGAAAGGGTCAGCCTCTCTCGCCCCCCGGGGACCCTGGGGCCAGAGGGGCGGGAGCAGCCCCTCCCATCCCAGCGCTTCCAAAGCTCCGAGCAGATGCCGCGGGGGTCACCGCGGTGGAAGATGCTTGTCGGCGTTGGCTTCCTCCTCCGCTGCTCAAGGGACCGGAATCGGTCCTGACAGGGACCCAAAGGCGAGGGAGTCCTCTCCCCAGCAGCGCGTCAAGACGAGGCCTCCGGGGCAGCCGGGCCGAAGGGAGTCCCGCCAGCTGGAAACGCAAAGGGGCTGCCGGTCGTTCAGTTCGCTTCTCCCAGAGGGCCCAAATCCTTTCCCGTCCCGGTGACCTCGGTGGTGGCCGGCTCGCCGGACGAACGCTAGTGTCCAAGGAGACCCGTCCCTGAAGAAACAGCGGCAGAAGGGGGGGATCGGCAAACGTGGATGCGTCCGAGGGAGGAGAGGGGGTCGGGCAGGGAGGACAAGGCCTACCTTTAAAACCTTCTTCCGGAACACAGACTGGAAAGGAAGATAAACGCCACCGTCAGAAAAATCCCCAGGCCCCAGCAGAGTCTACCTCGCTGGGAGGAGAATTCAGGGCCTCTCCCCCACCGGCGCTTGGCAAGAGGCCGAGCGGGAAGCTCCTTCCCCAGCAAGACGGGCGGGGAAAGCGGGGAGCGCTCGAGTTGGTTACCTTGCATAACGTCATCTATTGCCGCGTAATCCACAATTGGCTCATCAGCCTGTTTTGGGAGGGGGGGAATCAAATATCAGAAGTGCGAGGGTCCCGCTCCTTACAGGAGGAGAAGGGCCACCCCTCAGCCCCCGATGACCCTCCAGCCCAAACCAGCGCAGCAGCCGTGGGCAAGGACTTGGGCACTCACTACGAAGGCGCCGGTTGGGGCCGCCCTCCCGACCACCTTCCTTCCCGCGGCAGGCCCCCCGCTTGGGGGGCAGCGCGTCCGTTACCTTCAACAAAACGACGGACTCGGGAGTGACTCCGAGGCTGCCCAGCGTGGCCACGTCGTCAGCCAGGACCGTCCCGTCGATGGACAAGTTCTGGTCAAACGGCGCTACGGAGAAGGCGTGCATGATCTGTGCCAAACACACGCCTCGTGAGGGAGCAGCCAACGCTGAGTTCCTTTGCGGGGGCTTTTCTCCTGCAGGACGCCCCCCCCGCATGCTCTGCCTTCTTTGGCCCCTGGGAAGAGACGCCTTCCAGGAGACCTGAACCCCCGGAAGGCCAGGGAGAAAAAGGCCTCGCTCTGGGCAGCCACAACGCTCCTTCTGTCCCGAGGAACGGAGACCTCTGCGCACGGGCAGGAGGGAGGCTGTCGGAGCAGCACCGCCTCACCTGGATTTTCAGGTCCTTCAGTGTCTGGTTGGCAGAGACCAGGAGGGCTTTTTCTCCCCGGGTCCTCCGGTGCCTCGTGCTGCGCCGGATGCCCGGCTTCTGATAAACCGCGTAGTCCGGGTGGGAGACCTTCTGCCGCTTGGCGTGGCTGTTCGCCTGGAAGCGAGAAGAGATGACTCTCCTGCTCTTCCAGCAGTGAGGAACCAGGACCCCCCCACCTCCCCTTTGTCCTGGGGAGACCTGCTGGACACTTTGCTTTCTTTAAGATCCCGTTGCCTCTGGACCACGGAGGACCTGTTTCCCCGTGATAAACCCCCCTCGGTTTGATCCTTGTTTAGTGCAATTCAACGCCAACCCCCCTCCCTCCGGCAGGGTTAGGGTTAGAGCATCCCTGCCTCGAGGAGGTTTTCCTCCCCTTCCCGCTTCAGCATCCAGCTGCCTTAGCAACAGCTGGAGAGTGGGATTAGCCTTTTAATACTCGCCCAAATCAACCTGAGATCAACAGGACTAGGAGGAAATTCCCGTTCGTGATTCAGAGCCATTGGAGAACCACTTCTATTCCAAGACCCAGAATTTACCTGGTTGAAATCTGGATCATGCTCCCCTCCTATCCTGGCCTCCTCTCTCTCCTCTTCAGCCTCCGAGCTGCTCACGTTAAGCTCCGGAGCAGCCTCCTTCATGACCTGGGGGTGCCAGCCAGGCACCAAGAAAAGAGAGGAACCACTCTTAGATTCCTCCGGGATCCCAGGAGCTGGAAGTTCACCCTGAGTGGGTAGAACTGAACCCGCCGCTAACAACCCCCTGGAGACACTGAAAGCTTGGGGTCTGGGCAAAAGAAGTGAAGACACGCATGGCTGGACCTGATTCAGGAAGAGACAAGCGTCAAGGTGGACGCTAGAAATCCACTGTGAAAAGCAGCAGCGAGGGTTCACAACCTCCACCACCTGGAACCCTGGGTTTAGACCACCCTTGCTGGCAACTGATCTTGACAGAAGAGGCTAAGCCCAGCCTTGCCTGGCTTTGAATGAGGGAGGAGGCACAGCCAGCATGGAGGAAATCAAGGCCCCAATCTCTCAAGTCAGCTGCCATTTGGAAACGCATCTAGCAAACAGAGGCTATTCCCTTGCTTTTAAGACACCTGCTGAAGAGCAGCGGCAGGGCCCTCGTTCATCCACGCCCGTAATGGAGCAGAAACACCCACTGATTGCTCTGCTGACAGTCCAGCCCAGGAGGAAGGTCGGAACTCCATCAGCAGAGCCCCCGGCCCCATTTCCAGCTCAGCCCGCCACCCTCGAAACGTGGCCCTTCTTCCCACAGCAGACTCAAGCTGCTTTTCTGGCTGGAGAGGAGGCGCGAGACCAACCTTTTTGTCATCCACCACTTTGCGCACGTAGATGGTGGCCTGGGCGTATTCCCGCAGGTCCCTCTGCTGCTGGTACAACAGCCCTTCTCGGCAGTCCAGGCACAGCTCTGGGGGAAAGCAAGGAGGAAGGGAGGCGTTCCTGGCTGCGGGGTCCGTGTCTACAAAGACCCCATGCTTTGGACAGCATCGGCCAGCGAACAGACCCACATGACGGCACACAGCACAGAGGGCGTAACAAAGCCCTAAGATGCCCTTGAAATTAAACTCTGTGTAAGAGGGGAAGCAGCAGCAGGGACAGAGCAGCTCATCTGAGAAGCCTGTCTGCAGATGGGCAGAAGAGCTCAGTTTGACGGAAGCCCTTGGGAAAGGGCTGAGGGCAAGGAGGGACTGCCATGCAGCTAACATCCCCCCCGCAAAGGTGCACCCGCTTCGGGTGGGCGGCCGTTCTTCCCCGCGGGAGCAGAAGACGCCCTTGCAGAGAGGCTGCACCTGAGCGCCACCACAGAAAGCAGCTGGACACGGGCGATTCGGAAGCAGGATACCCGAGCTTGCAGCCTGCCAAGAAATGCCCGGAGCCCAAGGGAGCAGCGCGTGTGGGACCAACGTGACTGCCCCCCCCCGCCCGCCTCTTGCTCGCTCACCTGGTTCAGTCATGTAGAGCAGGCGCTCGGAGCTTTCCTCCGGGGCCTGTCTCCTGATCACGCGGATGGCGTGATCCACCACAAAAAGCTTTCGGATCTTCTCCCACTCGCTGGGCCATATCAGAGCTATACTGTGCAAAGAAGCAGAACATGCTGTCTCACTCAAAGAACAGCCGCGGCCTCTTTGGCCCCAAGGGCTGAGGGGCAGATGCACAGGAACGTCCACATCCAGGCCCCAAATGCGGCCAGCAAGGGAGGGGCCGAGGGGGGAGGTCTAAAGGCCTCCAACGGCCTCCAACGGCCCCACACGCTGGCCTCGGGCAAAGGCCTTCTCAGCTGGGGGCCCTGCTGTGCCGAAGCAACGGAGGCCCCTGCTCCGACCCCTTTGGCCCTTCTCTCCATGCTCGAGCTTCCAGGAAAAGATGCAGGAAGGAAGACACTCACAGCTTAGAGTCTTCCTTGGTCATGGAAGCCACGGTGAACATCAGCCCACCGTGGGGGCACAGCAGATCCCGGTTTCCAACGGAAGAGATGGGGCTACATCGCGCGGGCCTCCTGCTTGGAGGCAAGAAAAGGAGGCCGCCATTGCAGAGGCTCCGCTTGGCCACCAGAAATGGGGTGTGTAAAGGGAACGGGGAGAGAGAGAGGAAGTTAATTGGGAAGCCAAGGATGCAGAGGGGACAGAGGAGCCGTGCCCACAAGGGCTGCCCTGCATGCAAGGTCAAACAGAGCTGAGGAGGAGGAGGAGGAGGAGGAGGAAGGCAGCTCACCTCACAAACTTCCGCCACTCTTCCAGAAAGAACTTTGAGACCACGTAGAGCT